ATATTCCAGCAGGAATATTTATCTCCTCTCCAGAACACTCCCAATCGTACTTCTTTTGGCATTTTCCATATCCTTCTGTATTACAATCACCTGTGTACTTTTCATCTCTCCAGTACTAGAGTATAATCTCCTTGAGGACAGGAACTGTGTCTTTTTCATCTTTGTATCCTTCACAGCAGGGCCTGGAGTAAGGAAGACTCCTCTTCCTGAGTTTAAATCTAGCCTCAGACACTCAACTAGCCTGTGTGACCCTGGGAAAGTCACTTAACTGTTTGCCTCAGTTTCCTCATTTGTAAAATGAGCTGGAAGAAGGAAATGGCAAACCACTCCAGTATCTTTGCCAAGAAAACCTCAAATGGGGTCATGGAGAGTCAGGCATGACTAAAAAAAATGACTAAACAATAATGAAAACTCTTAGAACAGATTCCAAAGAAGAGTTAGGGAAAAGGTTTAGAGCCACAGTTGAAATAGTGTCAGGAAGGAGAGAGCAGAGAAGCCTCCCCAAGTGACTCTTTTGAACACAGCAACACTCATTTGGACGCACAAATTCTGGTGCATGTGAAAAACAATCATCCTTATTATAGTCACACCTGGGATGTTAGTCTAGGGGTATAGATTTCTAAATAAAGGATCTTTTTCAGCACAGTGCATCTGGAATTACTTATTTTAAACCACCTGGGATGAAAACTACTTAGTAAAATATTTCTGTGAATTGGCCTCTTTTTTCGTAACTTTTTCTTTTAAGTTCAGCAGTTCTTTCTTTCAAGTTCAAACTCACGCTGGTTTTGGTGGCCATCATGGTAGAGTAGAAAGTGAATTGAATTTGTTATCAAGGCCCCTGGGTTCGAAAGCCGGTCTTCCATTAACTAGCTATGTGACTACAGGCAAGGGCCACATCATGGGTCTCAGTTTCCCCATCTGTAAAATGAAGAGGTTGAATTAGTTGACCTCTAAAGTTCCCTTTCAGCGATGAACTGATGAGCCAGTTAGCATGAAATATATGAAAACTGTCTCTATTGCACCAGATGAGAGGTTTGCATTAGTTAATTTTCCCCAAAATTCCTCTAAATGTGACTTTAGTGAAATTTTCTTCCCTGGAAGAATTCGTTTCAGTGGAATATCCTTGTTTTGATGAACTAAACCCCCCTACAGTCCAGATGATATTTTATAAATCTATAGTTGGCTTTATTGTGAATCAGCAAAGTTCTGGTGATCATGACTGTCATTGTATATTTATTCTTAAGTGTGTAAAAACATACTACACATACATGTGCATGTGTACACATATGCATACATATGTGTGTAAATAGACAGACGTATATTGCACATATAGATAGATGGATAGATATAGACATAGTCTGGTGAACTGGTGATTTCATTGATGTGGGATGCTTCCAGGGTAGCAACTCTAATGATGCAGACTGGCCACTTATATGTGACTTAGAGTCTTGGGAGAGTTTTATCAGGGCACTGAGAGGTTTGGAGACTTGTCCTTGATTACCTGACATCTACATATAAGAGAAAGGATTTGAACTTGGGTCTTTAGCCACTAGGCCATAGGACCTCTTCCAAATCACACACACACACACACACACACACACACACACACACGTGTGTATACACATGCATAGCTATATGGAAATATTTATGGTATAAATAATATAACAACATGTTTTTAAATAATACAACATTTTAACCCTAGAAATACATTGATAGACCTGAGCCCCATCCTTCACCCTCATTCAAACCACTCTCTATGGATTTCACAATGTAGGCTGTATGTTAAAGATTTTCAGAACCCAAGGGGACTGGGTACACTTTGGGAGACTTTATCATTCTCTTGTAACCACTAGCCAGGAAATCTGAGGAAATGTGTACATGATATTCTACCATTTATTGATACCTACTTACTTGAAAGTATATAGTTTCAAATATTGGAGGTTTTATTTGGAGGAGGGAGAGATAGAGAGACAGAAAAAGAGAAAGAGAGAGACAGACAGACAGGCAGAGACGGAGAGAGACAGAGACAGAGACAGAGATCTGAATAAGCAACCATTATTCCTACATATATTTCTGTCCCCATAGTCACGTTCTCAAATATGAACACTCCTTCTGAAAGGGTTACCCTATACCCAATACCTGTTCTGGTCTTCCCCCACTGCCATATAAAGAAAGTAAGGGGATTACAGTATTTCTGTCCTTCTCCTTCACTCCTCCCTCCCTCCACTTTTCTCCTTCATCCTCTTCTCTTATTTCCTGGTGTTCTTTTATGTATTACCATAGCATTAGCCACAAATTTCACAAATAATAGAGTCTGTGAGAGTTCCCAACTGCTACCAAAAGGGAGATTGTCACAGGACACTTGGGAGTAGGAGTATCGCCCCAACCACCATTCTTGCTCCCAGTCCCACCTTCTAATCATTTGGGGAAGCAGCTCCTGTGGAACAGGGGTCATTCATTCCCAACAACTGCCACACACAAGGCAAGCAAGCCAGCCTAGCAGAAGCAACCACAGAGAGAGAGAGAGAGAGACAAGAGGCAGCATGGGCTAGACTAGCCAAGCCACCATCATCACCACCTTGCCCACCATATCCTCTCAGATCTTGATGGAGACAGCCCAGGACTGTAAACCCAAGAGCCTTGGGAATAGCAGTACTTCCGGAGATGGCAGTGACATAGTCTCTTGGTGTCCCTACACATTTTGCACAGATTTCTCTCATGCCTGGAAAGCTCTCTTCACTTTCATCTCGTGGAACCAATGGTGGCATGCTAGCAAATGTTTAGCAACTGGCTCTGGGTGGGGGAGAAGGTGGGGCAGAATCAAGGAATATAAGCCCAACACCCTTGGAAGTGGAATCTGCATTGATAACCATTTTCTCCATGACTTCTTAATTCTAAACAATCAACAAAACAATGAAGCCAGGCCTGGTTTGTAGTATTCTGACATTTTCATGCTGCAAATGTTGACCATGAGCTCTGCCCAACTGCCTCCCGTGCACTTCTGCTTGGAAACTGTAGCTCCCTTGAAGGCTTGCAGAAATGCCACCTCCCACCTGGAGGGACCTCCTGAGTCTCCATGTTATTCCCCACTCCCCACCACACACACATACACACACACACACACACACACACACACACACACACACAGCCATCACATCCTATTTACTTTGTACACATTTTCTGTTGTTTTTATCTCTCTTCTAGTTATTCTCCCTCATTGGAATGGATGATCCTTGAGGGCAGAGTCTGTTTGGGTTTTTGTCTGCATAGCCTCAGCACCTCGAATTTTAGACCTACTATGTGCTAGCATTCAGCACTTGGCAGGGACAGGGACTAGACCTGTGACTTCAGTGGTTCCGGGAAGTCCCTGGTAAGGAAACTCCCTCTACTGATGAAGGTTGGCATCTTGTGTATAACTTAGGGTCTCAGGCAGTTGCCTGGAGCATTAAGAGGTTAAGTGACTTGCCCAAGGTCACCCAGCTAACATGGGTCAGAGGCAGGAACTGAATCCTTAAACCCAGGACTTCCTGGCCAGCCCTCCCTAGTCTGTATCATAGAACCTTTATATGGCACATGGTAGGTCTAATAAATGACTGTTGAGTTGAAAAGAAACCATTTTTAATTGCTTGAAATGGTATTACCTTTTAAACTTTCAAATATTTAGCATCATCAAATGGCAGGCATTCCTAGGATGCTCACAAATACAGCCTTTTTGGTTCCCTTTTTAAAACTCTTGTCATTTGGCTCATGGTACAGTACAAGGAACATTGCATTGGAAGTCAGGGGACCTGGGTCCTGATCCCAGCTCTGCTGCTTCTCACCCTGTCACTTTGGGCAAGACCTGTTGCTTCTCACATCTCTATTTCCTCATCTGTAAAATCTCCCTTTCATAAGCCTCTCCCCACTCTATTCCATCTTCCTTCCACTCAGGGGTCAAAGTGATCTTCCTAATGCACAGTTCTAGCCATGCTGCCCTCCTACTCAATAAACTCCAGCATTCAGATAGAAAATCCTTTGATTGGCATTCAAAGCCCTTCATAACCTCCTCTCCCCAACCCTTTCCAGTCTTCTGGAATGCCATGTACTCTTAGGTACCCTTTGATTCACTGACACTGGTCTCCTGGTGTTACCTGGACAAGATTCTCCACTCCTGACTCTGGTAATTTTCCTTGTCTGCCCTCCATGCTCACAATAATATCCTTTCCCATCTCTGCCTCCTGACTTCCTTCAAGTCCCAGCTAAAATCCCATCCTCTACAGGAAGCTTTGCCCAGTTCCCCTTAATTTTCAAGCCTTCTTTTTGTTGCTAATTTCCAGCTGTTGCTCTCATGTTCTCTCTCTCTCTCTCATTTGTACAGAGGTATTTTCATTTTATCTTCCCCATTAGATTATGTCTTCCTTGAGGGGAGGGACTGTCTTTGGACCTTAGCACAGTGGCAGGCACAGTAGGCACTTCATAACAGTTTATGGACTGACAAGGGTACTTTTAAGACCCCTTCCCAGGCTGAGTCTATGATTGCTGAAATAGGAGTCTGGCTCCAGATGTCTGAGACCAGAAGACTCTAGCTCATCTTCTGGACACGTACGTCCTGGCCCTGTCAATGACTCAACTCTTCCCCGGTTGTGAGTGAAGGCTGCTGGCAAGAGCAATGATCATCTGTCATGCACCACCCAGGGAAATGGTGTGGCGTGGGTGAGCAGAGTCACTGGCCCCAAAATGGAAACTGATCATGTTTCATCATGACAAGGAGATGAAAATGACAGCCCTCTTCCATAAAGTAGTCACTGATAGTATTACAGTCTAAAATAGAAACCATACAGCATCTCGACTGGCCGTAAACACATTTTCAGTAGTCTTGGCAAATTCTGTAAATCCATAGTGGATTGGGATAGATGTGAGTGATTGTTATTTGAAATGGATATTTTGGCACTTGGGGGAGTCTGCTTCTGTCAACGCTTTGAAAACCATTTATTCAAGGAAAACATTTCTGTCTTTTCCAGGTTCCATTTGAAGCGGCTTTGTCCACTGCAAAGATGCTGGAGATGCTTTTTGATCCCTCTTCAGGCTATGTCTTAAAGTCAAACACCATTTTCAAGTGGATTACATCTTTTCTTAAATGAGCACTCTTTATACTGCAACCTTTACAAGGACAGAGGGAATTCAATAGTGTTTTGTTCTGAATTAGCTGGAAATTATGGTTATTATGGTTTTGCTGTAAAATAAAAAACAAAGAGTGTCTTCCTTCTTACAAAACGTATGCTTTTTCTTCTTTAAAATGCAAAGCAGTGAGTTCTTAAAAGTCCTTTCAGAGAATAGACTTTAATTACTTTGTATTTTGTTTTAAATTCCAAAGCTACTTTTAAAACTACCCCTCCCTGCAAAAAGGACTCTTAGGCAAAAGGGCCTTAGAAAAGCTTCCCAATGGCACAGTTTCTATCTTAGGTATTTATGATGGAGATAAGCTTACACCTACAGCCACAGCTCCACAAACCAGGTAGATCTAAGATTGGGGTCAGTTCAACCTGTGGCCAGTTGTCTGTAGAGCTGGGGGAGAGAGGGAGAGATGTCCCTGCCATCACATGTGTGTGAGACGAGTGGAATATTTGGAGCTATTTTGTAGGAATTACTCAGTTCTCCTCATAAGCCTCCCAGTGCAGTTTTCCTTGTGACCCCAAGTGAACAACACTCACCTTGATTCTTCGTTGTTTTGCTTGTGATGCCTGTGCACTGGAACCCCATCACGGGAGAGGGCTTCTCACCCACTTTGGATGGGCAATTGGAGCCCTGAGCCCGGCTGTGGCATGCACGTGTTTCCAGCAGAGCAACAGATCCTTCTCATTTCGTAGTCCTGGGTTCTAATTGTGCATATTGAGCATGCATCAGGGTAACAGGGGGCCTCAAAGGTGACCTAACTCAACCTCTTCATTTTACAGGCTTGAAAACAGAGACCTAGAGAAGAGAAAGGTCTCTTGTAAGTTCACCCACATAGTAAGTCACGCAGCCAAATTTCAAAGCCTGGTCTTCTGACTCCAAATCCAGTGATCTTTCCACAGCCTCCTGTTTCCACGTTGCAGGTGGCACCAAGTAGCATCTGGATTCTTGTCAACAGTGTGGGGGTGACCAAGCTATCCATGCTGCCAGCTAGTTGAAGGTCATGTTGAAAATAAATGATTTTAAGTTATTTGCATTTCTAGATAAGGAAAATTTAATTAATTATGTGAAAATTAGCCACTGGGGTAGAATATCTCATGGATGCAACAGAGATTGTATGTACAGAAATAAAGGTTGGCTAATATTACATGCCAATCATTTCTACCAAGTGCTACTTTCCTGGGAAAATTGAGAAGGAGGATTTTCTGCCTAAATTAGAACCTTTCATTTACTGGCTACACCCGGGGCTTTATAAATGTATTTTAATGTATTTTGCTTTTTTAAATCGATTTTCTGCCAATGAGGATGTGTATACAGTATCTACACCAATTTTTTGGAGCAATTCAATGTCTTCAATTGATTGGACATTTTCTGAGTGCAAGGCACTGGGCACTGACCAAAGGGCACCAGAAATCCCTTCATGGGGCTCTACGGGGAAGGTGACAAGTAGAATTGGGAAAACCTCTTGCCCACATATCCATTGTTCTGGTATGGCAGCATGAGAAGTCTTTTAAGAATAAGACTAGAGGGCAGAAGGCATAGCTAAGACATAATATACTGGAAAGAGTATTGGTTATTGAGTCAGAGGACCTGGGTTCAAATCCAGCCTCTGAGGCTTACCGCTATGACCTTGGAGGGGTCTGTATTCTCCCCGTGCCTCAGTTTCCTCATCAGGTTGGACTAGATAGCCCACAATGTCCCTTCCAGCTCCAGAGCAGTGATCCAAATAACCACCGATGCTGCCACCTGCCTGTGGCTCAATGACCAACTGACCAGAGGGACACCACATCACCAGTTTAGGAGGCCTTGTGAAAGGCACTGGCTGGCTCTCTGCTTTGAGTGGCATCCTTTGGAGAAAGCCCCCTTTGCGGCTTTCCCTGATTAAAGCGCCAAAAACGTCCTCCAGATCCACTTAGGTGCACGACGGAGCGTCTCTTCGTGCTTGTGGGTGCCATTCTTCAGGAGTGTTGTTTTGACTGAGAAAACAGGGTCTGTGACCCTTGCCTCAGACTCCTGCCTTACAGCTTTCTCTTTTTGAGCTCTCATTCCAGAAATCCCCCATCTCTGCTCAAAGAAGATGCAAACTCATGGCTTGTTAGGTCTGAAACTTTCTGTGGAAGGTGGTGATTTAGGTGTGAGGAAATGATGCGGAACTGGGCTCACGCACAAAATAATGAAAACGTAGAAGATCCACCCAGAAGAGAGAGGTATTTATTAGTAAAATTGTTTTTAGATTTTTTTTTTTACTTTGCTTGTGTGTATATGTGTGCATGTGCTTTAAGGAAAATATCTTTCTATATGAACTGATTCACAACAAGCTTTTTTCATCTGACATACAGTATCTGGCATCTAGGTAGTGCAGTAGATAGAGTGCTGGGCCTGGAGTCAAGAAAACCTGAGTTTAAATCCATCTGCAGACACTTACTAGATAGGTGACCCTGGGCAAGTCACTTAACCCTGTTTGCCTCAGTTTCTTCATCTGTAAAATGAGCTGGAGAAGGAAATGGCAAACCAGTCCAGTACCTTTGCCAAGAAAACCCCAATTGGGGTCACAAAGAGTTGGAACATGACTGAAATTACTGGACAACAGCATAAACAATGTATCATCTGAGTGTGTTTTACAGGAGATTTTGTACATTTATTTTAATTGTAACAGAGTATAATAGGTTGGGCCTGGTGACACATGCCTATAATCCTCACTACCAGGAAAGCTGATGGACAGCTTGGATTCAAGAGTTTGTGGGCCATCTAGTCCATCTGAGCTGCAGTGGGGCTAAAGCACTAAGTCATGGCACCAATATGTCAGGCCAGGAGGTAGGGAGTGGGAAGATGTCAGGCTGCCTAAAGGGAGGGACTGACCAGCCAGGTCAGAAATGGAACAGCCCAAAGCTTCTGTACTGATAGTGGCCCCTGTACTTCCTGCCTGGGTGAGACAGGGAGATCAGTTACCGGGAAAAAAAAAAAGGAAAGATGGAAAAGAAGAAAAGAGGGTGAAGGATGAGAAGAGAAATGGCAGCTTAAGTGATAGCTGGATCATAGAAGTCCAAATTCTAGATTCTCCAGGAGATTGCTCTGCTCACAACCCAGGCTAGTATTTAGAGAAATTGATTACCTTCCTAATGTTTGGTGGCTGAAAAATAGCGATTTATATATAGTTCTTAGTGTTCAGGTTTTTCATAAAAGCCCAGCCCTTTGTGTTCTACTCAGAAACTTATGGCCTGAGTTGAAGGTGAAACCCTTCAGTGAAATGGTCCTCATTGATTGGGAGGTCTGCTCTGCCTTCCACCCAGCTTATGGAGATGATGCCCATAAGAGGATATAGAACTATAAGGGCCTTAGAAATCCTCCAATCCCATCCCCCAATTTCATTTTATAAATTAAGAAACTGAGAGATTTTTCAGGGGAGAGGGGAGTGGGGAAGTGACTTGCCCAAGGTTACCCAAGTAACAGAACTAGAATTCAAAGCCACGTGAAGTGACTCCGAATCCATGATGGTGGCACTGTTTAGCTACCACCTGAATGGTGATCAAGCATATGGTTCTGTGCCACTCTGCATTTAGCTAGGCTGGTCATTGGAGGCCAGACACAGACCGGTGCCAGCTCCATCCTCAAGGCCTTTAATTTGAAATTCTTCTTCAACGATGCAGAACACAACTCACTCATGCCTGCCCATCTGGTGAAACTCTTGTCTGTGTCCTCTCCAAAGTCTGGTTTTCTTAATTTGGGGACATATTGAAAAGTCAAAATCATTTAGAAAGCCATACTTAGCTGTAGAGTGAAAATCAGAATTTGCCAAAAAGATTTTAAGATCACAGATTTGGGGCTTTAGAAATCATCTTTTCTTACTCCCTCATTTTGAAGATGAGAAATTGAGGCCTAGAAAGGGGAAATAATTTGGATAGATTTTGGACTTGGAAGACCTGAGTGCTACTAGCTGTGTGACCCTGAGCAAGTCACTTAGTGCCTGTTTGACTCAGTTACATCAACCGTATAATGGGGATAATAATAATACCAACCTCACAGGGTTGTTGCGAGGACAAAATGAAATATCATCCGTAAAGTGCTACAAAAATGTTTTTGGTGCTGATGACGCTGTTACTATTAGTGTTGTCTGCTCAAGGTCACAAAAATCAGAAATAATGGACCTGGGACTTAAACCCGTCTCATCTGACTCCAAAGCCAAGAGTTAAGTGACTAAAGCTGAAATCATTAAGGCTCATTCATGGCATACTCAGTGGTTGTTCAGTCCTTCCAGCTGTGTCTGTTTGTCTGTGACCCCATTTGGGGTTTTCTTGGCAAAGATCCTGGAGTGGTTTGCTGTTTCCTTGCTATTTGCTCATTTGACAGATGAGGAAACTGAGGCAAACGGGGAGAAGTGACTTGCCCAGGGTCACACAGCTAGTAAGCATCTGAGACAGGGTTTGAACACAGGTCTTCCTAACTCCAAGTCTGGCACTCCATCCATTGTGCCACCTAGCTGCCCCTCATGGCAGTAAAGTTGGGCTAAGCCGTTCATACTAGAAAACAGCTTTCATTCTGTCCCCGCCATCCTCCCTTCTTCTCCCTTTCCCCCTTGCCCCGGTCATCTTCTCCTGGCTGAACACTCCTGGTCTCATCGAAGGGCTCTGTATATCGCTTGATCTCTTCCCCATCCTGGGCCTTCAGGCATAAGCTGATGATCCTCAGTAACAGGCCTAAGCACTGATTCATGCAGCAGATGGCTAGGCTGTGAAGGCAAACCACCCATAAAGAGTTCTCCGGCATCAGTGATTTTGCCTTCCTTCACTTCTGCACTTGTATCCTATAATCAGACACCCCAGTTTAGATAAATAGGTTGTGATTATTACATTTTAAAAGCTGCTATTTACTTCACAAAAGGATTCCCTGTTGGCTTCCTCTAAATATCCATTTTCTCAACTGAATTTAAATATCATTCAATTTGCAAAAATTGGTTTCATACAGAACCTTTCAGAAGCACATCTATCATGCACAATGAGGACACCTGTAAAGACGAGCCACCTTTTATCCATTTTTAACATTTAAAAGAAAATATCAAGGAAGAACTTTCCTTGAACAGGACTCAA